TAATAGTGTATGACGATGAAGTGATTGCAACCGATGAAGTGAGCTGTAGCTCACGAAAGCTTATGCTCAAATAAATTGGTTAGTCTCTAAGGTGCCACAAGTACTCCTTTTCTTTTAGTGTATGACGAGAACATGTACAAACTTGACAAAGGTAAGGAAGTGCAGCTTCTTCCTGCAACAGAAGGTGCTTGAGGATAAAGATGATAGGACTGGATGGGAGCAGGCAGGCTGTTATTTCTCTTTGATCTCTAAAAAGTATCCTTAATACAGCAGTCTGGACACCTGGACTAGCTCAGCAGTGTAACACTTCTGTTTCAACAGCCAGTGGCCACAGCTTCTGATTTCACTCCAGCCTGCTGTAGAACCTACTTCAACTCTCCTGCCCTGTCTTGTGATAAGCGAGCAGCGGATGCTCTTGGCTGGGAATGAATGGGGAGGGTGGCAAGAACTCATCACCAAGGTCTGGACGGTACCAGCCACCCAAACCTGTTGCCTGGGCCATGGACTAGGAGTTGGGAATATTTAATCTCTCTAATTTCCTTTCTCCTCTTCCTGAGCCTGTCTCTGAGAATTGGGAGGGTGAGCCACACATAAGAATTTAAGAATGACCGACTGGGTCGGACCAGTGGTCCATCTAGCCCAGGGTCCTGTCTTCTGACAGTGACCACTGCCAGATGCCTCAGAGGGAATGATCAGAACTGGGCAATTATTGAGTGATCCATCCCGTCGCCCAGTCCTAGTTTCTGGCAGTCAGAGGCTTAGGGATGCCCAGAGCACAGGGTTGCATCCCTGACCAGCTTGGCTAATAGCCATTGATGGACCTATCCTCCATGAACTTAGCTAGTTCTTTTTTGAACCCAGTACAGTTTTGGCCTTCCACAAGATCCCCTGATAATAAGTTCCACAGTTTGACTGTGTGTTGTGTGAAGAAGTATTTCCTTTTCTTTGTATTAACCCTGCTGCTTGTTAATTTTATTGGGTGACCCCTGGGTCATGTGTTATGTGAGGGGTAAATAACACTTCCCTATTCACTGTCTCCACACCAGTCATGATTGTATAGACCTCTATCCTACCCCACTTAGTCATCTCTTTTCTAAACTTCACAGTCCCACTGTTTTTAATCCCTCTGCATATGGAAGCTGTTCTATATCCCCAGCATTACTTTGCACTTATCAACATTGAATTTCATCTGCCATTTTGTTGCCCGGTCGCCCAGTTTTGTGAGATCCCTTTATAGCTCTTCGCAGTCAGCTTTGGACTTAACTATCTTGAGTAATTTTGTATCATCTGCAAATTTTGCCACCTCACTGTTCACCCCTTTTCCAGATAATTTATGAATATGTTGAAGTGCCCTGTTCTGTTCACTCCCTCGGAAGAAACTAGGTGGGAATGGAATGGGAACTGAAACCTGTTAGGGGCTGGGGCACTGGGTGGGGGTTGTTTCTGTTTAAGCTCCTCTCCTTCTGCAGTCCCCACCTAAGATGAGCAACAATGTCTTGTATGGGGAGTGTTAGACAGGGGTAAGGGAGATTTGGCTGGATGAGAGACAGCTGCTCAGAGCATTGGCACCAACTTTCCCTGGCGCCAGTGAGTGCTCGCGCCCCCCCACCCGTGCCCCGCCCCCATTCCAACCCCTTCCCCAAAGTCCCAGCCCCAACTCTGTCCCCTCCCTGCCCCTATTGGACCCCTTCCCCAAATCCCCGCCCTGACCTCTTCCCCGGGCACGCCGCGTTCCCCCCGCCCAGCTGCGCGAAACACCTGTTTCGCAGTGCAAGCGCTGGGAGCTAGGGGGAAAAGTGGGCACACGGCGCACTCAGGGGAGGAGGCGGAGCAGAGGTGGAGGTGAGCTGGGTGGGGCGGGGAGCTGCCGGTGGGTGCAGAGCACCCACCAATTTTCCCCATGGTGCTCCAGCCCCGGAGCACCCACGGAGTCGGCACCTATGGCTCTGTGATGCGTACTGAGGGCACTCTAGTTTCTCCCATCTCCATCTCCGTTGTCACTGCTTGGCCTCAGGTAGAGTTCTGTGCCCTCCTGGCAAGTGGGATCCAGAAGGTGGGGAAGGGAAATTGATCTGGGATCCCTGCCTCTGCTGAGCTGTGAAGAGGGTGATCCTTTGCAGGGGCCTGGGGGCTTCTTGGGGGGAGAAACTAGGGGTCTCACCTGGGGCAGGTTGGAGGTGGGGATTGCTAGTCCTTTTCCCCTCCTGGGGCTGTGAGGAATCCCACTTTCCCATAGCATGTGCTGTGTTGTGATGTAGGTGGAATATGAGGGCAGAGGGGGAAGGTTCTTTCCCTTCTTAGGGAATGAGTAGGGCGAGGTAGGGGAGGATGGGGAGTTACTCTGTGGCCCTCACTTCTCACCAGGTGCTGAGTGGGGTCAACAGGAGATGGGGGTGCTAGATAATTAAGTGCTTTCCCTTTGTGAGGGATGGGGGCTTATTGGTGTGGGACAGTTATGCTGGGGTTTCCCCTTGTCCCCAAGTGCTGAATGGTGGGGTGCATTGGAGGTCAGTGGATTCGGGCAGGTCATTGCCCCTCCTGGGAGCTTGGTGTTGGAGGTGTTACTCTGGGGTCCCTAATTGTCCCTGGGTGCTGAGTCATGGGCTGGGCGGTGGGAGATTTGGGCAGACAGATCCTTTTCCCTAAAGGAAGGGGGTTTACTGTGGGGCCTCCCTGTCCAGATGACGAACTGTGGTGGAAGAGGGGTTGGGCAGGTCCTTTCCCCTGCAGGGAGACTAGGTGCTATGGAAGGGGGTTGCTCTGGATCCCCTGTCCTGGGTGCTAAGATGTGGGGTTGGCTGAGGGGCAGGTGGTAGGGTGGGGTCACCCAGGGGCTGAACCATGTAGTGGGCTGGGGGGAGGTGGTGGTAGGGGCTCACTCCAGGGTCCCCCCATCCTGGGGGCTGAAGCATGCAGTGAGCTGAAGGGCAGGTGTTGGGGTGGTCATTTTGGGGGCTGGGGTTGGGCAGGTCTTTTCCCCTGCAGGGGGGATAGGTGCTGTGGAGGAGGGTCACTCCAGGGGTCCCATTTCTGGGGGTTGAGCCATGGGGTGGGCTGAGGGGCAGCTGCTGGTGGGATCACCCCTATCCTGAGGGCTGAGTGGTGCGGTGGGTTGGGGAGTCAGGTGGTGGTGGGGTGACACTGGGGTTCCCCTGTCTCCGGGGCTGAGCTGTGGGATGGGCTGGGAGGCAGGTGGTGGGGGATCACACTGGAGTCCCCCTGTCCTGGGGGCTGAACCATGGGGTGGGGTGCCACTCTGGGGTTCCCCCCATCCCAGGGGCTGAGCTGAAGGGTGGGCTGAGAGTCAAGTGCTCAGGGGGTGGGGTGAAACCAGGGATCCCCTGTACCGGGAGCTGAGCCGCGTGGTGGGCTGGGGGGCACGTGCTGGGTGGGGGTCACTCCAGGGTCCCCCCATCCCAGGGCTAAGCGGTGAGCTGGGGGAGTCACTCCGGGGTCCCCCTGTCGCAGGACTGAGCGGTGGGGTGGGGGCAGGTGCGGGTCACTCTGGGGTCCCCCCCCATCCCGGGGGCTGAGCGGTGGGGTGGAGGCAGGTGCGGGGGGGTCACTCCGGGGTCCCCCCGTCCCGGGGCTGAGCGGTGAGCTGGGGGGTCACTCCGGGATCCCCCCGTCCCAGGGCTGAGCGGTGGGGTGGGGGCAGGTGCGGGGGCGGTCACTCTGGGGTCCCCCCCCATCCCGGGGGCTGAGTGGTGGGGTGGGGGCTAGGTGTGGGTGGGGGTCACTCTGGGGTCCCCCCCATCCCGGAGGCTGAGCGGTGGGGTGGGGGCCAGGTGTGGGTGGGGGTCACTCTGGGGTCCCCCCATCCCGGGGGCTGAGCGGTGGGGGCAGGTGCGGGGGGGTCACTCTGGGGTCCCCCCCATCCCGGAGGCTGAGCGGTGGGGTGGGGGCCAGGTGTGGGTGGGGGTCACTCTGGGGTCCCCCCATCCCGGGGGCTGAGCGGTGGGAGCAGGTGCGGGGGGGTCACTCTGGGGTCCCCCCCCCGTCCCGGGGGCTGAGCGGTGGGGTGGGGGCCAGGTGCGGGGGGGTCACTCTGGGGTACCCCCATCCCGGGGGCTGAGCGGTGGGGGCCAGGTGTGGGTGGGGGTCACTCTGGGGTTCCCCCCCATCCCGGAGGCTGAGCGGTGGGGTGGGGGCCAGGTGTGGGTGGGGGTCACTCTAGGGTCCCCCATCCCGGGGGCTGAGCGGTGGGGTGGGGGCTAGGTGTGGGTGGGGGTCACTCTGGGGTCCCCCCCCCGTCCCGGAGGCTGAGCGGTGGGGTGGGGGCCAGGTGTGGGTGGGGGGTCACTCTAGGGTCCCCCCATCCCGGGGGCTGAGCGGTGGGGGCAGGTGCGGGGGGGTCACTCTGGGGTCCCCCCGTCCCGGGGGCTGAGCGGTGGGGGCCAGGTGCGGGGGGGTCACTCTGGGGTCCCCCCCCCGTCCCGGGGGCTGAGCGGTGGGGTGGGGGCCATGTGCGGGGGGGTCACTCTGGGGTCCCCCCGTCCCGGGGGCTGAGCGGTGGGGGCAGGTGCGGGGGGGTCACTCTGGGGTCCCCCCGTCCCGGGGGCTGAGCGGTGGGGGCAGGTGCGGGGGGGTCACTCTGGGGTCCCCCCGTCCCGGGGGCTGAGCGGTGGGGGCAGGTGCGGGGGGGTCACTCTGGGGTCCCCCCGTCCCGGGGCGGGGAAATCAGGGGGCCGGCGCCCCCCCGCCGGCAGCGCTCCGGCCGGGCTGAGGGGCGGGGCACAGTCACACGTGGGGCCAGGGCAGCCGAGCCTTTGCCGACGTGTCCCTGCCCCGCGTGCCCCGGAAGCCCCGCCCTCGCGCCCGGTGACGTCATTGTGACTGTGGTCTATCGGGCCCATGTTGAGGCTCCGCGCGCTGATTGGCCTGGCAGAAAGGGGCGTGGCCTGGCGGACGGGTCGTTGATTGGTCGGCCGAGGGACTCCCGCGCTCAGCGCGCCTGCGCCGGGTGGCGGAAGGGATAAATACCGGCGGCGCTGGGCGCCCCTCCCCCCCACACGTTACCGTCGGCTGAGTCGGCTGCGTCCGCTCCGCGCTCCCCTCACCTCAGCGCGCCCGACCCGCCCGGCCCGGCCCGCCATGGCCTCCGCCGCCCCCGGCCAGAGCGGCCCCGCCGCGCCCCTCGCGCTGCAGCGCGGCATCGTCAAGATGGTGAGAGCCGGGACCTCCCGCGTTCCCCGGGGCCGGGTCTGGGGTCTCTGTCCCGGGCCTCTGCAGCCCTCCGGCCCCGCCGTGGAACCCGCCCCGGCCCCCCGGCCCCGGGACCCCCCGGTCTGCCCCCCCGCGCCGCCCCCCGCCGGTCCTGCCCCGGAACCGCCGTGGGACCCCCCCCGGCTGCGCCCCCGGTCCTGTGCCCCGCTGGTGCTGACCCGGCCCCCCCGGTCTGCCCCCCGGGGCTGTGCCCCGCCGTGACAGGACCCCCCCGTCTGCCGCCCCGCCCCCCGCCGGTGTTGCATCTGCTCCCCCCGGGCCTGTGCCCCACCGTCTGCCCCGGCTCCTCGCCCCCTGCCCCCCCGTCTGCTCCCCCCCCCGGGCCTGTGCCCCGCCGTGACCAACCCCCCCCTCATCTGCCGTGTTGCGTCTGCCCCCCCCGCCTACCCCCCCCAGGCCTGTGCCCCGCCGTGACAGACCGCCCCCCCGCCGGTGTTGCCCCTGCCCCCCCATCTGCCCCCCGCCGTGACAGACCCCCCCTCGTCTGCCCCCCCGCCGGTGTTGCCCCTGCCCCCCATCTGCCCCCCCTCCGGGCCTGTGCCCCGCCGTGGGACCCCCCCCCCCGGGCCTGTGCCCTGTCCTGCCGGGCCGCCCTTGCTCGGGCCGCCCCCTGCTTCCCCGCGCTGCAGCCGAGACCCCGCCGCTCCCCACGGGCGAGGCGGCTGGAGGCTGCTCGGCCACTGCCGGGCCTGGCCGCTGCCGACTGTCCCTGCGTGAGCCATGTGCTCTCGGGGGCAGGGCTCCCGGTGGGTCTGGTCCCGGGCCAGACCCCGGCAGCTCATCCTGGGCCGAGGTCGCAGGGCAGAGGGGTGCTAGGTAGGGGGCTGGTAACGTCCTGCCTTGTGTCCAGTTGGGTCTGAGACTTGTCCACGGCGGTGGCTTTCCTGCGGGCCAGGAGGCCTTCCTGCGGTGCGGCTGGACATGTCCTCCAGTCTTTTGGGGGCTGGGACATGTTCTCTGCCCTCCCACAAGGCTGCAGACCTGGAAGCTGCTCAGAGATTGCTCTTGTCCTGTGGATGGCCATGTGTTCCTCCTGGGGGTGGAGAGGGCATGCCCTGTACCTGCGGGGAGGGGCCTGAACCTGAGGATTGGTGGGTATGTACTTTACCCTGATGGATGGGCAGGCCCTTATGTCCAGGGCATGTTTTCCATTGGCTTCGCACGAGTGGTTCCAGGGCAGCAAAGTTTTCAGTAGCTGTATAAAAAACTCGCTCCTAGGTGAGTCTGGCGGGAGCCTGCTTGGGGTGAGCCACGAACTGGGTGCAGAATGGTGGGGGAGGGACATGGACACATGCAGCTTGGTGTGGGGGTGTCTGCATTGTTTGACTGGGGGGCTAAGAGAGTTAAGGAGGTGGGAGTGCAGTGTGTGTTCTGTTTTGGTATTGATCTGTGTGCTGGTGGGAGAGATTGGGCTTGGGGTTGGTGTATTGCCCTCCACTTCCATCTGTATTGGCCCCAGCCAGTGGTGTTTGCAGCAAGCCCCACTCTGGAAGCTACCACAAAGTCTAATCCTTTGCTATTGTCTGGACTGATGGGAGCCCGTGGGGAGGCTAGGTTTTTCAGATGGGAACCCGGTCTGTGGGAGAGGAGAGAGCCCAAGACACACAGCCCAGTTATTTGGGTGGGGGGAGAATGAAGGGGTTGGTGGAAACTGAGACTTGTTTTTCTGGTTGGGCTGGGGTGTGTGTGGGGAGCTGGGGCCGGTGGGCTGTTTCCATACAGGCCCTGTTAACAGGTGCTAGCACCTGTCCTAAAGTCAGACTGTTACTAGCCAGTCAGGGGGCCATGCCCAAACCTATGGAGGCAGGGAGTTTTTACAGTGGTCATGCCTCACTCTCTCCTAGTTTGTCCTTCTCACCACTTTGAACATCTTCAGAAGAAAGAAGCCAGTTCACGCTGGCCTGGGAAGCAGTGCTGGATCTGTGCAGGTGATGCAAGAATTGCTAGCACAGTTTCAACGGTTGTGCAGCACAGAATCTTAGCGGGATCTGGGCATTGGCCCTGACCCATGCCGTGCTGCGCTCTGAAGGGACCGGTCTTCTAGGGAAGGCCGCAGCACAGGGGTGCTCTGGGGAGCCGGGGGGTGGGGTGGGGTTCATATCTCTGCTTGCAGAGTGGTTCAGAAGTTGTTGCCCCCCTCAGCCTTCCTCCAAGAAGGGACCCTCATCTTGCTCACCACAGCTCATGTGGGCTTTTTACCCACCAGAGGGCTTAACCCACTGACTTTTCAGAGCTTTCAGTGTGCCCCATAGGGCTGAAACTGGAAAGGTTTACTCCTTGTTTATCTCTTTCACAAGCTCCCCAGAGGGGACGTACATAGTAGGTTTAAAAATGTAACTAGAGTTTTAACCAGCTTTGAGTTGCTAGGCTGCTGCTAGAGATCCCAGGGAATGTGAGCATCAGACTTCCTGATTCCTCTGCCAGACTGAATGGTGTCAGATTTAGGGTTGGCCCTAGGTCTGTGGTTAGACCCTTCTCTACTCTCTTGGGCTGAGATTTTTCAGGCTTAGTCTCTGCCCCAAGATAAATTTTCACACAAATCAGCTGAGTAGTCTGTGTGGAAAACAAGCACATCCCTAATGTTAAAAGGGTATATACAGTACCCAGTGCACTGAGGTCTCTAGTTCTACTGTAATATACAAAGTCTATGAAATACAGTTGGCAAACGGATAGGTGATTGATGGTAAGAGGTCAGTCAGGAGGGAGTGCTGTGCAAACAGAGTAAAAGGTGCACCATTCCTAAACCAGATGTGGATTAGGAGCGAGTATGTATTTAGAACAGTCCTTTAGCTGTATTGAATGTCCCACAGAATAGGGATTCCAAATTTTGAAGGCAGGGAGGGGGGCTACTGATGCTGTTACTTACTATCCCTGCTAGATTAGCAGGCAGAGGAAACTCATCTAGTCTCCACCCCAAATTGAAGCATGTGCTTTTATTTCCTTCCAGCATTTCTTCCTCTTTGGATGTTTTGTCCCTTTCCTGTTATCTTCTGTTCCCTTCTCCCAAGATAAGGTGCTTGAGCAGGTTAAAGGAGCCTCTGCAGCAGTTTTGCTCTCAGGGCACATGAGACTAAAACTCTAAATTTCACTCTGGGGCCAGCAGCACTTTTTGCAGGAGGTCACTTGATGGAAATTGAAGGGCAGTGAATTTAGACCCAATAGAAATAAATGCTACTTTATGGAGAATAGTCATCCTTGTGGCATCCATTGCCTCAGGAGGTTATCGAGAGGAGTGCAGTGACTGGATAATTTTATGGCCTAACAATTGTAGCTTTGCAGGCTGTGATTAAAGGGGAAATCAAGTGTCCTGCTTCAGGGTACAAATTGATTGTATGGAGGGGTCAGGAAGGACCTCTTCCATCTGCAGAATGGTACAGTTGGGTGCACTCAGGTTTTTGTTGTTTTGTGGAGTAGCAGACTTAGGTCGCTATTTGAGGCTCGTTCACCTCTAATCATGTCTAAAGTTAGGCTCGTAATTCAGGGTTTGGCCTTCAGTTAAAAATACCTTGATTTTTTTAGGAGTACTGAACACCTATGTGTCTCATTGAAGTTAATGGGAACTGTAGGCGTCCTGCTTGTTGGAAATCAGGTAATTTTTATTTAGGTCCCTCGGTGCAGGTTTAAAGTTCCCTAACTTTAGGCTTCCAGATATGAAAACTTAGGTCTGGGCTCCTGAGCCAGTGCAACAAATCCTATAAACAAAGTTCTTTGACCTTTCTGTTTATATCCAGGCATGACTCTGATTTTGGGGGCGTTAACTGGTGTGTGCTGAACACTTGTGAGAAACTCTGTGCATTACTGAAGGTTAAATTTGAAATGTCTGAGCTTCGTGAACAAGTGAATGTAGTTGTCAGAAGTACAAAGCTTGTTTCTTCTGCCACTTCCTTTGGAGAGCAAGTGAGACTGGCATATGCTTTCTTAAAACAGACAATGTTGCAGAATAGCAGGGCGTGAGCATGAGCTACAGATGGAGTTTTATGGGAATTTGGCTTAATTTTCAGTTAGATTTAGTTTGCTAAACTGCTGTTTCTCAGCTGAGTTGGAAGTTTTCTTCAAATTGCAATTATGCAAAGCATTTTCTAATGCTTGCTAAACAGCATTTAGGGTAGTAAAAACTTGTTTGTGTGTTTATATATAATTTTTTTTAGATGGCTATGGTCCAGGGGTTAGAGTGCTAGTTTGGGCTGTGGGAGACCTGAGTTCAGTATCTGCTTTGCCACAGACCTCCTCTATGCCCCAGAGCAATTCACTTACTCTCTCTCAGTTCCATAGATGTCCAGTGGGGATACTAGTATTGCTCTGCTTCACAGGAGGGTGGAGGATAACTGCATCAAAGATTGCAGAACTTAGATACTACAGTGATGGGGGGGTAAGATAAGTATCCAAGAGAGATTTCACCAGCATCTCTTGCAGCCTTAGACTTTTCTCTCTGGCTGATTCCTATTGTTCAGAACCTTTGCTTCGGGGAATTCATGTTTGAGCTGGGAACTTCACTTTGAGGAATAGAGATCTAGGGAGCACTTTTGGCAGCTTATGCACCTATTTTATTGAAATTTTTATCTCTTCTCTTCAAGTAATCCACATTCCCTGATGTGAGGGTATAACTGTGTGATCTAGGAGTTGAGGGGTGAGACCCAGGGGTTCAAGCCACCTGAATGACTTTCACAGCAGCTGTGCACCCTGGAATGCATTGATAACTTGTAAAATGGTAAAACTGACCTCCCTTGTCCTCCTGGAAGTGCACTGGAAATAGTAAAGTGAAGTCGTTGCAGGCTGTGTGATGGCTGCCGGAGAATGGCACTGGTTTGAAGCAAAGCCAGTTAAGTTTTGCTCCCTTTCTCATTCTAAAAATCAATGAGTCACTTCCCTGTTCATGCTACAGTGTAAATCTGTTGCAGTGTCAAACTTTCTTACAGCGAAGGAATTCGCATCTGGCAAAT